CGAGCTTCTCCTCCCAGTTCTGCTATGAGAACTACATTCAGGTGAGTGTGATGCAAGAAGTAGATGGCATGAAGAATATGGCATGAAGAAAATGGCATGAAGGTGACACGAGTTGCGACGGACCAGCTCGCATCCCGATAGATGCCATGAACATCTTATGGGGTTGTTGCTCACAACAGAGCTGCTTCCTGCCCATGTGCTCACGAACAGTGTGTTGACAGCTGCTCGCCGTACCGTAATCTTCCATATGTCTCAACCAACCCCTCAACAGGTCACTGTACTCAGCTCATGAGGCTGTTGCCCGATGGGACCTCCTCTCTATATCCACCTCCCTGCCTTTCCTCTTCACCCCCGTCCTCTTCCCCCATCCCTATCCATCCTCCCACCAGGTGCGAAGCATGAAGATGGCACGGGATGTGCGCGATCAGCTGATGGGGCTGCTGGAGCGAGTGGAGATTGAACCCAGCAGTAGCAGTGGTGACCTGGATGCAATCAAGAAAGCCATTACCGCTGGTGAGAGGGTGTGGTGTGGTCGTGAAAGAGTGAGCTAGAGTGGAAATTGAACCCAGCAGCAGTAGCAGTGGTGACCTGGACGCAATCAAGAAGGCCATTACCGCTGGTGAGAGGGAGAGAGTGTGATCGTGGAAGGGTGAGCTTAGAGTGGAGATCGAACCCAGCAGCCACAGCACCGGTGACCTCGATGCCATCAAGAAAGCCATCACTGCTGGTGAGAGCAAGTGCGAGTGTGATTATGTGAACTTGCGTTGCTGAATGCACCTGGATGTTTAAGCAGGCCATATAAGAGGTGCAACTCCAGTTCAATTCTCCTGTCTTTCTCTCCCTTCTCCCTTCTCCCTTCTCCTTCCTTCCTCCCTGGCAGGTTACTTCTACCACACAGCCCGCCTTCAGAAGAATCGCACGTACCGCACCGTGAAGAACCCCCAGACGGTGCACATCCACCCGAGCTCGGGGCTAGCGCAGGTGCTGCCGCGGTGGGTGGTATACCACGAGCTGGTGTACACGAGCAAGGAGTTCATGCGCCAGGTCGTGGAGATCAAGCCTGAGTGGCTTGTGGAGATTGCACCGCACTACTACAAGCTGAAGGACGTGGAAGATTGTGAGTGTGTGTGTGTGTGGAGTGGAAGAAAGAAGGGGTGTTCAGGCATTTGGAGAAGAGTAAAGGTGTGATGATGTGTGCAGAGTGGCAGACAAGGTGTGGGGTGGGTGGTATACCACGAGCAAGGAGTTCATGCGACAGGTCGTGGAGATTAAGCCTTAATGGCTCGTGGAGATTGCACCGCAGTACAAGAAGCTTAAAGACGCGGAAGATTGTGAGTGAGTGAGTGTGTGTGTGTGTGTGCGTGCGTGCATGCGTGTGTGCGTGCGTGCGTGTGTGCGTGTGTGCGTGTGTGCGTGCGTGCGTGCGTGCGTGCGTGCGTGTGTGTGTGAGTGTGTGAAGCTAGGTGTGAGTGTGTGAACTAGGTTGGGTAGGTGCAAGGTCCAGGGCGCTCCCATTGCCTCCTCTCACTTGCTCATCTCAGCTCCAATCCTCCTAAGTTTTCTCCTTATGTTCCCATTTTCTCTCGACTCCCCATCCTCTCGGCTCCTCTTTGTGGATCCAGCCGGGGCACACAAGATGCCCAAGGTGGTGGGCAAGGCAGCCGAGAAGTAGCCACGGGCCAACCGACATTTGGTGGGTGCGTGGCAGCAGAACAGAGCGGACGAATCCAAAAGTACGTGCTTTGCAACAGCATGGTACAGTGCGATGAGCACATTGGGGAGTGGGAAATACAGTGGGTTGAGTGCGCTCAATGGCGTGTTTGTTCCAAAGGCATCCGTGCACAAGTAAATTCACGCATGCACGCATGGTCTGCAGGTTCATGGGCCATGCCCATGCATTCTTACAACATTCAGGTGTGCCCTGTGTAAGGCATGTACAGTTTTGAGGAACATCTTGAATGGTGTAGCTGTGTCTGCATAACAGTGGCAGCTCCAGCAATGGGTCACCAACCATGCCCAAGCCAAGTACCCCTAGCCCTCCTCTCCCACCTTCCCATCCATGCAGTTCTCCACACCTTCCGCCCCCCAAATTCACATATATTGGTTGAGTTAACCGTGTTAGGGCGTATCCCTGGCTGGTGGCAGGGCAACTGTTCTGCGTTGACCTGGTGGCAACTTTCCCAAAAACACAGGGGGGCGGAAAATGGGCATTCCACCAACTCAACGTGAAAAGTTGCCCTGCCACCAGCCAGGGATACACCCTTATAGAACATGTTCATTTGTACCTCTGCTAGAGCCTGTGGCTTTGGGTTGGCAAAATAAAGACGTGGAGCGGGTGCATCAAGGCGTCCCTGGCCGGGGCATGCCGGGGCGCCCCAGCTCGCCCCAGGGCATGCGTCTCTGCCCATGAAAAAAATTCAGGTATCCTTTCAAGTGTTGGAACCTACCTTCACCAACCTGATCGCCACAAGAATTTCTTGGATCGACACCCCCCATAGGAAAAAGTCGCAATCAACCAACTCCTTCGCCAAAAACCCCGCGCGATAATCTTGACAGGTAACCAACAGTTCGAAAATCGCAAGCCTTTGGTGCGTGCATCATCCCATCCCAGCACGGCCCAACGCCTGGTTCCCTTCCGTGTGTGTGTGAGGTGTTCCGGGCAACGTCCTAAAATGGATTTGGTGAGTACACTGGCCACATCAACTTTCCCTCGAGGGACGGTTTCGGTTTCGCCTCATCTAAAGTTCTTATATTTCACACACAAAGGCGACTGAAAGTTTCTAGTACGCCGCCCACAACTTCATTTCGCCAGCTCGCGCTGGTTTTCGAGTTCCGTGTATTTCAATGCCAACATTCCTAGTCACAGAGTGTTCTTGGTCCCTGGTGCTTAGTGCGACTGAGACTTCGTGACGCGTTGCAGCATTGTTACTAGCGCCAAGGTGATGGGTGTTTTAGAGACCAAACGGATAGGTGCACAGAATGAAACACAAAGCGCCTCACGCAAACAGCGAATTTAATCCCACGTTCGATCAGCATCAGCAGCCTACTAGGAATAATCGACGAGTTCATGCTGGAAGACGAGGTCCCTGATAACCTTAAAGGCTTGAGCAGATTCAACAGGGTCTTCGAAGAGGCCGATCAGAAGAAGAGAGCCAGTCTTCATGATAACGCAACCACCAAACTGCAAGGAGCTTAAATTCGCGTTAGGGCACAACATTCAAGAAAAAAAAGAGCGAAGGATATGCAAGTCCACGGCGTAATATTGGTACTGTAGTGTCTTGTCTTACCCTACTTCTGCCAAAAAAGGTTCCACTTTGAATGCTTTCCCCCATATAATTGTCCTTTCCCAAAGTTATCTTCTCACTTGCAAGATTCCTGCCAATATCTTCAATCTGCCCTCCAGGCACCTGTACAAGTTTGTAGAAGAAATAGTTTACACGCTAATCATAATATCCTAAAAAAAAGGCAAACATTGAGAGAACATAGCTTGAATAGTCAGGAAGCACTGTGCTACACCTATCCTTCCTACACAAATTACCGTCTTACTTCTGGGAAACTTGCGTTCTTAGCATATAGGAAGCCATCATGTAGATTATAAATAGCAGCCCCTTTCAGTTTCCCCCCATCTGGAAGGTCGGAAATAAGATGTTCATCGACATAAGTCTGCCACGGGATCATCGTGGCTGAGGATGGAACCTAGGACTCGTGAGATAATTTCGAAAAATGTCATTCCCAAAAGTGGGAAATATGGTGCTCCGAATGCAACAATGGCCCTGTTCGATAGCACTTTGGGCCCCCTCGATGCAACCATTTGGTTTGGCTCTGTCGCCCAAATGGTTCAGCGTCGCGACAAAATGCAAGGGGTTTAGCCGCGCCGGCAGTAAAATTATTGCGACCGTCCCACTGCCAGCTCAATCAACCAAATACAACGGCCAGCATGGCCAAAAACCACCACCTCAACGGCCCATAATACCCGCCAAGTTTTTGCAGTAGCGCGGGAAACCTTGGGGGTCGCAGGGGGGTCGTTCGCGCTGGCGGGAGTTTTTTCACATCGCATGGGGTCGCAAACCGTTTCCCGCCATACCAACAAGGTTACCTCAATGATTTTCGGGCGTGGTCACCCTCGCTATCGAACAGGGCCAATGAGAAAGTCCGGTGGTATATCCAGTCCAGAACCCTTCTTCCCCTTCCCCTCTGAACAATACCAGCTCCTGACCTCAGTCGTTGTCGAGCCGTCCCCCAAATCAAACGTCAAGAAGCCAAAGCTTTTCACACCAAAGCACGGCTGAACTGTCCCCCCCAAACCAAACATCCAAACATCAAGAAGCCACAGCTTTTCACACCAAACGTCAAGAGGGCTATCGATTGGTTTTGGGGTACCCTGACGAATTTGGGGGTCCCGCGTAGCAGGCTGTTGAGCCGAAACTCGGCCCTTTGGGCTTCAGGGCTAGTACAATTCCAGGCCCCCATGAAGAACCTGAGCCTAAATCCTCGTGAAAAAATCCTCGTGTACACTTTGGCTGGCGAATTGGCGAGGGTACCTGGCATTGCTGGCTGGTGAGTGCGGGATTAGGGGGAGGGGGGGAGGGTGGTGATTGTATTGTATCACAACTCGCAAGGTAACTAAAAAAAAAGAAAACATATTCACACGCATAAAAATATGCATCTCAGATTGTATCAATTACAAACAAGAACTTTCTTTTTTAGCGTGAATGTGAAATGTTGGACTCATATAGAAGACTGCCAGTTTGCTAAATGTCACAAAAATTGCATTAAAAGCCAGGCATGCATTTTGTATTGTAAGTGGCAACAAGTAGATGCATAGTTGCATGGATGCTACGGTATGTAGGCCATTGGGCAAGCCTCTTGTGTTACATTCTGTTCAGCCCGTACAGAGCATGTACAGCCATGTCTTGAGGAACATCTCAGATGGTCCAGCCACGTCCTTATAACAGCAGCTGCAGCACCGGATGACCAACCCTGCTCAAGCCACTAGCTAGCTAACCGTCCTCCCCCACCTTCCCATCCATGCAGTTTGCCACCCCTTCTGCCGCCCGAATCCTGATGATATCCGTGGAGAACGTCGAGTAAACCGTGCCATAGAACACGTGAGCCCGCGCACAGATGTACTTCTCTGCCAGTGCCCGCACCACCCCCTTGCCTCCCCCCTCGGGTAGGCTCTGCTCTAGAGCCAATAGAGCTCGCCCCCAGGGCTCGTTGTGTGTGTCGGCCCATGCGAAGCGGCTCTCATGCAACGTCACCAGCCTGGTGGCGTTGCTGGCTGCATGGGGTGAGGGGGTGAGGGCAAGGGAACGGGGCAGATAGGATAAACTCATGGTTATGTGCGATGTAGATTCATGAGACTCATTGTGTGAGCATGTGCGAGAGCATGGCGACCTCTGCATCAGTGCCATCAGAGGCGGCAACACAGTGTGCAGGTCGGCAGCAGCAGCGCGCATTTACCCAGCAATCTCATAACCCCACACTGAGACACATTATTACCTGTGATCAGTTGTGTCAGCATGGCAACCTCTGCATTAGTGCCATCAGACGCGAGCAGCACCGTGTGCAGTTTGGCAGCAGCGTCAAATGTATGACAAACCAACTGCAAGTAGTGAGCCCATGCAAAGGCTGCAGCACCTGACGGTCCCATATTGAGACACTTCATTACCTGTGAGCATGTGCGAGAGCATGGACACTTCAGCTTCAGTGCCATCAGAAGCGAGCAGCACAGTGTGCAGGCTGGCAGCAGCGGCGCGGGAGAGAATGAACGTCCCAACTGCTTCTATGGGCAGGAACACATGCCGCTTGTAGCTCTGCTTCTTTAGATGCCCCGAGAAATCGCCCCTGATTCGTATATTGGAGGAAGAAATAGGGGGGATAATGGTGGCAGTGTGGGGGGTGAGTGCAGCAGCTACCTTATCGCTCGCCCCTGCGGTGCACAACTCTGGAAAGACGAGGCTCGAGACGAGGGGCGGTGTAGCACTGCCTCTAGCTGCCACTCCCCCACCTCATGAGGTGCACAGCTGTGGACTCACCGCCTGAGGTGCACGGCCATGAAGGGAGATGGCAGGTGCGTTGCGATACAGCATGCGGGCGCCACAGGGACTGTGATGTGATGAAGGGCAGTACAGCACTGACTGACTCAGCACCCACTCACGCACCGCCTGAGGTGCACAGCTGTGGACTCACCACCTGAGGTGCACAGCTGTGGACTCACCGCCTGAGGTGCACGGCCATGAAGGGAGATGGCAGGTGCGTTGCAATAAAGCCATCCACGAACTCCATCACAGCAGCGTGCGGCCGCCACAGGTTGCTGCAGTCCGGAGGGACGGTCACGAGTGGCAGTGCTGATTCCAACAGCCAGTCATGGCCAATCACAGACGTTCCCGCCAAATCCCCGAAGGTGAGGATGTGGCCGGCAGGCAGACTGGGCTCCTCATCATTGCTGTCAGAGGTGGTGGTGCCGACTGTAGCAGCTGATGGTGGTGCTTCTGAAACTCCCGCTGCTGCCACAGATGCAGGTGGTGGTGCTACTGCTGAAGCAGCAGGAGGTGGTGCTGTCACTTCAGCTGCTGCTGCTGCTGCTGGTGCTGCTGCTGGCGCTGCTGTAGATGGTGTAACCAAGGCTGCAGCAGGTGATGCAGATGGTGCCGCAGCAGCTGGGTCAAGGGTTGCTGCTGCAGCTGCTGCTGTTGCGTCTGATGATTCTGCTATAGCCGATGCTTGGCTAGCCAAACCCGGTGCTGCCTGAGATGCTGCAGCAGCACCTTCGTCTATTTGTGTGCCCTGCCCCTCTGCACCACTTCCCACCTCATTCAGTCTTCTCCGTGCCGCTGCTCCCTCCCCGCCACTGACTCCTGCTGCCGCACCCACAGCTTCACTTGCACCTGCTGTTGCTGATGCCTCCCCTCCCACTGCTCCGCTCCCTCCTACTTGCTCCTTGCCTTGCTCACCCCCTGAAGAGTCAGTCTGACTCTCTCGCTCCTCCGCTCCTCCTACCTCCCCCGCCTCCGCCCTCTCCTCCTCCCCCTCCACCACCTCTACAGCTTCTAGAAGCTTCTCCAACCGGACCTTCCCCATCCTATCCACCAGGCTCTGATTCACAGCTATCGGGCGGCCTTTCTTGTCCGCTAGCTTGATCCCAGGCACCTCTCGCAGCAGCACTCGCAGCGTCCACTCGTGATTACACGTGGGCTTGAGACAAACCAGGTGTGCCACGTAAGCATGGTCGGAGTGGGAGCGGGAGAGGTAGTCTGGTAGTAGGAGTGTGGTGAGGGGGCCGTAGGAGGGGGCGAGGCAGGTATGTAGTCTGGGGAGATTAAAGACGGCGGTCCAGGGCCAGATTAGGTTTAGGCCGGTGTGCTGGGCGACGGCGAGTGGAGGGATGAGCAGTGTGCGGTTTAAGAGGACGGCGAAGATGAAGTAGGTCATTATGCACTCCTGCTGCTCTGCGGGGCGGGGGCGACGGGGGTGTGGGGAGGGCCAAGGGGAGGGAAGGAGGGGAAGGGAAGAGAGAGGCGATTTTTTAGTTGAGTCAGGAGACGGCGAGGGGGTGGATTAGCAGCGTGCAGTTTAAGAGGACTGCGAAGATGAAGTAGGTCATTATGCAATCCTGCTGCTCTGCGGACGCGGGAGGAGAAGGGGAGGGAAAAGGGTGGATGGAAGGTAGCTTTGAGATGCCTCACATGTGGAGAGGGATGGGGAGAGGGATGGGGAGAGGGATGGGGAGAGGGATGGGGAGAGGGATGGGGAGAGGGATGGGGAGAGAGATGTGGAGAGGGATGGGGAGAGGGAGGTTGAAAGAGGGGGGAAAGAGGGAGGGGGTAAAGTGGGAGGGGGTTAAGGAGGGAGGGGGAAATGGGAGGACATAGAGGAGAGGTAGAGAAAGGAAAGGAGAGGTTCTGGGTGGGGTGGAGCCGAACGAGAGATGACTCACTTTTCCATACCTGATTGGCCAGTCTCCGTTCCTCTGGCACCTAATTGGTCAGTCTCCTTTCCCCGGTACCTGATTGGTCAGTCGTCCAGTGGTGCAGAGCGCCAGGAGGTATTTCCCCTTACGCGGACGCCAACCCCCCACCAGCTTGCGTTGACTCGCAACGGCTTCCATGGGGATTATCTTATTCGCCATCGTGCCGTTCGGCCCCTCACACTCCTTCGGCTTCCGTAGCGAAAACAGGAGCTTTCGCCGCTCCGTGGTTACATCTTCGCGAGTAGCGACGGAGGTGGTGGGGTTTTCGCGAGGCGCTGGGCGTGGTATGAGAAGCAGGATGAGAAGCAATGGCGAGACAAGGAGCAGCGAATGCAGTGACACTGACGAATGATGACTGAAAGTGCGACTCCATGTTGATGCGGTGGAAGCTATTTTCGTGCCCGATTTCACGGAAATTACCGGCATTGATTTCGATAACGTGAGCGAGTACCCGCAACAGGCAGATCTATCCCACAGGAAGCCGACTATTTCCCCGCTTTCATCAACCCAGCGTTGTGGAAAACATTCTACCTTCGCTAGGAGGGGAAGGTAGAGATTGGGAACCAAACGCGTTACAGTCATCTCCATCAAAATTGTACCTTGTAATTTCGATAGTTCAAGACTATATAAATATAGTGGAGGTTGTGATTCGACACTCCCGAGGCAGCCTGGAGAGGTTCGCGCCAAACCGAAATCTACCTGGGAGACTCAATTGCGACCCAATTTCCGAAGGCGGAGCTTCGGGAATTCCAGGGTTTTTTTCAAAACGGTACCTCCAATCGAGCAAGCCGTTGGAGCAAAATGTGCTGAAACCTGAAATCCATGCATTATCATGCCAAGATTATATGGTATTTTCAAGGATTCTCTCGGACGTTACTGTCTACGGCTCTGAGAGGTTAGACAGACTGACGCAGGACACTAGGATTCACGAGTGTTACCAATACCCATCATCGCTCTGTCTGTCACCAGAGCACCAGTAGCATACGGTGTCTAATCCGCCTTGCCAACAATCCCGTTGTCCAAGATAAGAATTATTCTCTATCTTCCATTCTCCAGGCTTCTGGCTTGAAGATTCGTGCTCTCATGGCGTCATTATCATAAGGCGTCGTTGTCGCGGAAATTTCAGGCCGGTCGCTAGGTAGCCTGGTCGCAAAGCGTCGCAGTTATCGCAGAGCTTCGCTGAGTGTCGCAGAGCCATGGAGGACGGCTTAATCTCGCCGTTACTTCGCTCGGACAGTCGCATGGGTCCCATCCTCCCGTCTCATCACGCTCCCTGCGATGACAGCACGTCGCACGTGTCGCATCATCCCGTGCGGCTAGCATCGCTTGACGTTTTCCGCGGAATCAGCATCGTCGTGAGTACGCCAATCTGGCCTCAAATCGACTCAACGATCACCACTCACACCTGCGGGCTCGTCGCGTCGTTCCGGGCAATCTCCAGCACCACTTACTCGCAATCACATTCCAAGCCATGTCGAGCATCCCAACCCCACGCCAATGTCGACAGCATTGCGAAGCTCCATCATTGAAATCCATGTTTCCAATGCTTCGCACAGTCATTGGCTGTCTGGCTGTCGCATTCCAACTCAAACTCCGTCAAATCCCCACAGCGTTTTCGCAGGTTATGTTCTTGGGGGTGGGAGTGTCCCCCTGGGACGGGCTGCAGCTGAGAGACCTTATCGCTTCCAACTTCCTCTCCTTCTCCTCGCCTCCCTGCAGGTCATGATAGTGGCGCTGGACGTGGGTCAGGAGGAGCCATGGGTGGGAGTGTTCCCCTGGGACGGGCTGCAGCTAGGCGACCTCATCGTTCGCTTCTTGAGACGTTTCAAGGGTCCCCTCTTCCTCCCTGCAGGCAATGATAGTGGCGCTGGACGTGGGTCAGGAAGTGCCGTGGGTGGGAGTGTCTCCCTGGGACGGGCTACAGCTGGGAGACTTCGTCGCTCCGTTCTTCCTCTTCGCCTCGGGCGCTGCAGCGGCGCTCACCTTCAGAGCCGTGCACAGCCGCACTGCGGCCGTGCACAGGATTCTCGGACGTGCCTGCTGCCTCTTTCTCCTCGGCCTCTTCCTTGAAGGTTGCCACCCTCCCCCTCCCTTTGCCTACCATCAACAACAAACTTTCTTGACTTGTTTCTCGAACATTGCCAGCGTGTCTCTGCCTGCTTTGGATATCAGCCAACCGTATCGCTCGCACGTCACTTGTGGCTTTCACCTGTTTGCACTCTCCTTCTCACTCACCCAGGTTTTCTTCCCCGTCCTCTCAGTCATACCCCTTCCCTCTCACTCACAACTTTCTCCTCTCACTCTCGGACACCATTCATCACCACACCTCGACTTTCTCCTTGCCTCTCCCTCCACCTTCCCGGCACCTTCCAGGTGGCTTCCTGCACAGAACAGGGGACCTGAGTTTTGGCATCAGTCTGACGCGCATGCGCATCTGCGGCACGCTGCAGCGCATAGCTGTGGCCTACACAGTGGTAGCACTGGCGCAGGTGCTGCTATCCGCGCCCAAGGATAGCCACACAGAGGGATATGGAGAGGGGCTATCCGGCTTGTTATCCTTCTCCCTCCTCACCTGGTCAGTCCGTTCTCAGGTTCAATCCAATGCATGATTCCCTGGAATCATGAAGTACCACGAGATTTTCTGGTTTTGCATTCCTCTCTTAGCTGCAATTTGTCCCGCCCTAAGCCGTTTTCCTCCCTCCCATGTTTCGCCTCCCTCTCATCATCCCTACATCGATGCATGAAACACCCCCCTCCAGGCAGGCGTCGCTCATGCTAGCTGCAATCTACCTCGTCCTCACCTTCCTCCTTCCCTCCCATGTTACACCATTCATACCTTACATGGGCGCATGAAACACCCCCCTCCAGGGAGGCATCGCTCATGCTAGCTGCAATCTACCTCGCCCTCACCTTCCTCCTCTTCGTGCCTGACTGGACCTTCACTCCCCCCACCTCCTCCGCCTCCCTCTCTGCCGTCAACTCGACCTTCCTTCCCCGCGCTGCGTCAGCTGTCAGCAGCCCGTCTCAAGACCTGCTGGTCAGTGAATGGTTGCAAGAGGGAATGCCCACACTGAATTGGAAAGTAGAATGCAACTGGAAGATAGAATGAGTTTGGCAAATAACTTGCGTTCGGAAAATAGCATGCCCCCTGTCAAGCGCATGCCACAGTTGCATCGCAACCGCGGTCGTCAGTAAAAACACCCATCTCTGTCTTCTCCCGTCCTGCCATAACCCATCTAACGTCACTGAATCCCGTTCTCTCGGCCAGCTCACCTCGTTTCGTCAAACTCCACTTCCCTACCTTCCCACCTACATCCTCCCTCGCGCTTCATCAAAGTGTGCCTGCCTGCCTGCCTGCCACTCCGTGCCTTACTGTCCACCATTCTCCATGCCCATCAGGTGGTGTGCTCTCGCACTGGAGACCTCTCCCCTGCCTGCAGTGCTGCGGGCTACATCGACCGACTGCTGCTCACCACCAATCACCTCCTCGCCTTGCCTCCCTACACCCAATTGCCTGTAAGCTTTCCGCACATGACCAGGCACTTCACACATGTGCCTGTCTTTGTGTACGTTTGTGGACCAGTGTAGCTTCTTCTCGCCCATTCTACATGCCTGAAGCCTCGCTACCTCTCCCATCCTCGCCCCAGCAGGCAGAATTTTTGTCCCATCTCTGCCTCGTCCGTTTCGACTTTGCCTTCTCGTCCCTGCTGCAGGAGTGCGGTGTTTCCTCCACTCTCGTTTCGCCACCCTCACTCCTCGCCCTACCATCCTCTGGCGACCAGGCACCCCCTGTGTGGTGCTCTGCACCGTTTGAGCCCGTGGGGCTGCTCAGGTGAGAGCAGGGCATGAAGGAGACATTTGTGGGTTGGGGTCGGGCATGCGGAGGGTTGGGGTGGTGGGGCTCGGCGTGTGAGGGTGGGGGTGTTTTTCCCTCTTCCACCCTTTTCACACTCCAACTCCTCATTTCTTACCTTCTCCTTCCCCTGCTCCCAGTAGACCTGGCGCCTCTGAACAAGTCTATTCGTGTCCACTCACTCCTCTCTCCGCCTTCCCTCTCCCCTGCTCTTCTAACCAGCACATTGGGTGCCACACTCACAGCCTTCATGGGCTTGCACCTGGGCCACATCATCACCAGCTTCCAGGTAACCACGCTCCCAGTCAATACCCATTCGGCCATCTCCCCTCCCATTGCACTCTCCTTTTCACTAACTTCTCTCGCGTCTAGACTAGCCTTCTCGTCTCTCTATGTGTCCTGCTTCTAATCTCGCCTTCCTCCCAAATCATCTCCTCTCTCATCCATGTCTTCTGTTTCTTCCCTTCTCTTCCCTTTCTCTCCCGTTCACCCCCTCTCCGGTGTTCCATGGTCCACCACAGAGCCATGCAGCGCGCATCATCAACTGCCTTTTCTTCTCTGCTCTCCTCGTGGCGGCCGGTTTCCTCCTCCAGTTCCCTTTCTCTTTCTCCCTCCACCACGCCATCCCCCATGCGAACATCCCCGAGTGGCTTGACATATCCTACCCTGGTACAGTTGCATTTCGTTTGTTTCATGTTTCTCCGCACAGTGCTTCCGTTGCAGCAACCTATCACCCCCAAAACGACAATTAACACCCTTGTTTATTCTCTCCTGCTGTGTTCTTGTCCCCCCGTTCCTCAGGTCTGCCTTTCAATGCTCAGCTGTACTCGCTAAGCTATGTCCTCATAACAGCAGGAGCTGCCGCACTCCTTTTCGCCCTCATCTACCTTTTTGTAAGCACCCTCCCATCACCAACGAGCTCAAACATATGTGATTTGATGTAGTAGCTCTGTCTGGCAAACGTATGTTCACATCAATCCTTCCCAAAGCACAGTCGCACATTCTTTTCTGTTGCTTCTCCTGTCCCCTGCACGCATCTCTCCCAGGTGGACGCGGCGGGAGTGTGCTTCTACACGCTCCTCTTTGAATGGATGGGCCGCAACTCCCTCTTCCTCTTCCTCGCCTGCGCCACTCCGCTCCTCTCCTCCATCGCTGCTGGCTTCTACTGGGAGAACCCACATGAAAACCTTGTGAGTTTGTACCTCTTCCCACCTCCCTCCTGCACACACTCTATGAAACATCCATCATTCCCATAGCTCTCTCAACATTCCCTTTCCCTCCCCACACACGTCTGCTTCCCCATCCC